GACACCCCCGGGCATTTGCCCGATAGACTGTTCACGGGGGTCGGGAATTTGCCTTTCATATATGTGCCCGGGGGTCGGGTATTGGAGGACCCCGGGGATTTGACAAATGGTTGCCCAGAATCCCACCCACAAATTTTAAGGCAGCAAAACATAGTTCAGGCAAGCATGTGGGCGCGCTGATCGTGTTTTGCGCCCTCGTGTTCACGGTGGCGTGAAATTTATTGTAAGAATAAGCGAAAATTATACCCTCTGCCATGCAAATTTAAATACAACTATTATAAAGGTTTATGTTTTATAATATTCCATAGCAGTTTAATACTATAATGTTATTAATTATTATGACTATGATTATATGCCTTTAAAAGTTTAATTAACGTTTACAGTCGATTTCACGAAACTTTGACCACAAAATTTCTGAACTTCGTTGCGAAGTTCACAAGATTGTTGCAAAGTTCAAAAGTTCATAATGAGATTCACAAACCAGTTCGTAAACTACGCATTTGATTGGCTTCTTTTACTTCACGGATCAATCAGGGACTTTGTTTACAAATTGGCTTGTGAATTCCAATATGAGCTTCCAAACTTCACAACGAACTTGCGAACTTCGCAACGAAATTCGGAACATTTGTGGTCAAAGTTTCGTGAAATCGACTGTAAAATCGTCCCCGGGGTGGGGCATTTTCCACTCTCAGCTTGCCCAGGGGCCGTGCATTAGTCTTCAAGTTGTGTCCCGGCACCCGGGCATTTACACTGTCATAACCAATCTAATCAAATTCCCGGGTGTGTTCCCGGGGGGGGGGGGAGGGTTACTCCTGGAATTGACTCATGCATTACTGAATAGAAATAGACAATGTTCCATATGGGTTGAAAATCATTCAGACAAACAGACATAAAACAATTAAATGCTTTAATAGAATTTATAGTATTTTCAAAAATACCATAAACCACTATATAGATGTCTTGTATATTGTCTTTTTTATTAACCACAAAGAAAACAACATACTTATAGATCTGAGCGACAATTTTAAATATGTTAGAAAGTTCTGAGAAACACATGCAAAATCTCTCGTACAGTTCTCACTGAAATTATTTGATTGACATAACAGAAACCATGGTTACTGCGATTTCCACTTGAGTATGGAATTACGAAGGTTTGTTCGTAGAGTTTGTTCGTTAACTTTTGTCGTTTGAAAACAATGTTTGTGACGTCATTCTATAATGTTACCAGGCGAGCAGACAATGTTGTCAAGTAAAAACCGTTAAAAACTGTCAATCATTACAAAACGAAATAAAGTTTCTATTTATAGTCGTGAACTTGGCAGTATTTTACTTGACAACATTGTCAGCTCGCCTAACAACATTATAGAATGATGTCACAAACATTGTTTTCAAACGACAAAACTTGACGAACAAACTTGCGCAATTCCATACTCAACTGGAAATCGCAGTATATCATACAATTCATTCTCAAGTTATTTTGCGTAATGGCCGATTAAAAATTAACAAGGAAAAAACGTGAAACGTTAAATTAATGACAAGGCAAAAGGAGCAGATTTTTGGTTAACAACAAAGCTTGTACTGTTGTTGTATAGGTCCACCTACACGACTAACAACAAAGACAGCACAGCTATTGACTTTTGTCCATAAAGGGTCATAGACATCATATGTCAAATAAGAGATCTTGCGAAAGAATGCGCTGTAAATATCATACAAATTTAACACAATGTGCATCAGAATAACTTTATAATAGCATTTGTATTAGGGCATAATTTGAACGTCAAAGTAAAATGAAAATCTAACCAAGAAATTCTAATTCCATGGTATAGGGATATAGGCAAGAAATGAACAGGGATCTTAATTTCATATCATAAATTTCTTAGCAACAAAAATAATATTTTTTTATATTTGCAACATTATCAATGTAGTGTAGTTGCGACAATCTAATTACTTTATCCAAGGTTTATATTATTTAAACCAGGAAATCAGTTCGAAATATGAAAATTCTCGGCCGCTAAACAGTGTCAAATATAATTTACACAAGCAAATATCTGAAGCGAATTTGAATTGATACAATACGAAATACAATGGGTGTTGTTCATGTGTAAACGTGCTTCAATGTCCCAGTGTTTTCAAACTGTAAATATCACTAAATAATTTCAGTGAGGCATTTTCGTTTTACGACAAAACTTATTCTGACTCTGATCTTTGACCAAATACTGCTTCCACATTAGATAGCGAGAAAAGTGATTAAAATCAACCAAGCTCATAGGAAATATAGACAAAACTGTGATTAAAGTCATGCAATTGCCAGACCGGATTTAGAAATGTATATTATAAACAGAGCAGTGCTCGTTTGAATAACAATTTTGATAAATTGAAGATCAAATTTCTGGAACAAAAACATGGCAGGAATTTGTAAGATACTGAAAGTACTTTAGCAAAGATAGGTAAAAATAATTGGCTGATATATAAAAAAAAATATTAGCTCATATCACTGTAAATGAGAACAGGTTTAATTTGATAACAAGGCAAGCACAATTTTCGCTCGCACCGAGTGCCCTGATGAATGGCAGACAATATTTTCATATTTATATCTCACCGTAAATTCGCCTGTAATAGAGTCAAATCCAACATGAATTGTGTGTTCAAACGATGTAGGATAAGATATTTCAGGCTTTTTCTTGTTATCTATGCAGAATAAGAAAGTACTTGATGAATAATACCGAACGTTTCATATCACAACAACCAGACGAAGGGTAATGGCCGTCAAACAGACAGATATTATTAATGAAATCTTTAAATTTACGCACATTTCTTGTCGTCATCTCCTTTATTGGGAAAGAAAGTAAACGTTGCTTTCTTTTTCTTCTTTAAACTAAGATTTTCGCCTTCACTAGGAGTGCTCGGAAGAGGTTTGGATGATGCCGGTGATGCTGCATCTTTATGCGATGTCGATCTCATCGGTGGCGCTGGGGGTCGCTCTTCGTCCGCCATGTTCAATACAATTCTTCCTAAACTTTTAAATTCCCGTGAAACAACTCTTTAAAGCTATAGCGAATCGAAAGTCAAAGAATTCTTCAGAATTCCACAAGTTTGTCGCTAAAATGCTCCCATTCACTTCCTAGTGTATGTGTAGTATACACGCCCGCAAAGACACTGGGAAGCATCTAAGTATAGATATGACCGACGACTCCGGCGAACGCAAAAAAACCGCATGCATGTTTAGTGGAGATAAAAAATAATTTTCAACAAATTAACATAAAAACAATATTATTATGGAGAGTTGGTGTTTTACATGATTTCACTCAGGACATTTTCTGACCCCCTCCCCCCAGTGTGGATTGAAAAATTAACAGCAATGAAACAGGTGTGCGTTGCAGGTAAAGTTAGATATTAGGACAATTTGTTTAATCTGCTCATGATGTTTTACCCTGATGAATATGATTCAATCATATATGATTAAAAAATGTATATTATGTGTTACTACTTTGCAATGCAACATTTGTCCTACCATAACCCTAACCCATGACCCGTCTTTAAACAGCGAAATGATTTGAACACAGGGTTTTTTTAAGAACTTGTCTAGGGGGTGGGCATCTACAAGAAGGGATCATACTATATTGAGTGTGGAGAGATCACAGGTGGTTGTTGGTGACAAAAAGTTTCGTGACTCGGTGTGGTATCGTATGTACTAGTAGGGGATCTGGGGGTATTCTCCCCCAGACCTTTTCCACCCCTAGAACTGAAATGTGAGCATTTTCTGAAACAGATTTTTGGATATACAGCGTTACATTGTGCGTTGATAGACCGAATCTGATCAGTTAAGTGTACTTGCATGGTATGTTTATGTACTGAATACCACAACCAGACCTGCCAACTTTCACGGATTTCGCGTGTGACTCACGAATTCAGGCATTATCTCACGGACTCACGGAAATATTTTCAAATCTCACGGATTTTGAAATTTTAATCACCACTAGATTTTAAAATTGGAATGTTTGAAATGAAATATAACCAGCTATTGACGGTAAATCTAATTTGTTTAGTGTTTATTTACTCATTACCAAGTAGTAGTCTAAATGCTCCGCCATTTTCAATAACCTAAGCGGTATGCTCCATTAATGTATCGCCAGTGCAGAGCGGGAAATTTACTGCAAGAAAATGGCGGAAGCAGATCGAAACTTCTCAAATTGGCCAATGAGCTATTCCTGTTTTATATTCACATCATCCCACATTGAGGAACTTGATTTTTATCCCTTGACTTTTCCAAGAAACTAGATCATTGAAGTCCACCTTATCACAACCCGCACACCCGATCACCTATATATACATGAACTTACGGTTACAGCTCAACAGCTGGCCTCTGTAGCTCAGTTGGTTAGAGCGCTGCACCGGAATCGCAGGGCCGTAGTTTCAATTCCTACCAGAGGACCTTGTGCTGCATTTTTCGCAATCGTTCCTGGTCAGGTCTTAAAATGTATATATATACTCACTTGGATTACAAACCCTAAGAACAGCATTCAAATATTAATTCCACCAAGTGAAGTGCAAGAAATTAGATCATTGAAGTCCACCTTATCACAACCCACACACCCGATCACCTATATATACATGAACTTACGGTTACAGCTCAACAGCTGGCCTCTGTAGCTCAGTTGGTTAGAGCGCTGCACCGGAATCGCAGGGCCGTAGGTTCAATTCCTACCAGAGGACCTTGTGCTGCATTTTTCGCAGTCGTTCCTGGTCAGGTCTTAAAATGTACATATATACTCACTTGGATTACAAACCCTAAGAACAGCATTCAAATATTAATACCACCAAGTGAAGTGCAAGAAACCAGATCATTGAAGTCCACCTCATCACAACCCGCACACCCGATCACCTATATATACATGAACTTACGGTTACAGCTCAACAGCTGGCCTCTGTAGCTCAGTTGGTTAGAGCGCTGCACCGGAATCGCAGGGCCGTAGGTTCAATTCCTACCAGAGGACCTTGTGCTGCATTTTTCGCAATCGTTCCTGGTCAGGTCTTAAAATGTATATGTATATACTCACTTGGATTACAAACCCTAAGAACAGCATTCAAATATTAATTCCACCAAGTGAAGTGCAAGAAACTAGATCATTGAAGTCCACCTTATCACAACCCGCACACCCGATCACCTATATATACATCAACTTACGGTTCAGCTCAACAGCTGGCCTCTGTAGCTCAGTTGGTTAGAGCGCTGCACCGGAATCGCAGGGCCGTAGGTTCAATTCCTACCAGAGGACCTTGTGCTGCATTTTTCGCTGTCGTTCCTGGTCAGGTCTTAAAATGTATATATATACTCACTTGGATTACAAACCCTAAGAACAGCATTGTCATATGATATCCCATAATGCGCCACAGCACCTACTGATAGAAAAAGTGTCAATTGCATTCAAAAGAATACGCTACGGTTCGGTATGATTGAAGTGGAAAACGGCCTTTATTCACCTGAAGTGGTTCACTGTATTTTGGGCGCTTAATTAATATTCTAAATGTTAGATATATAGATATAGACGGACAGCGGTCATGCGCACGGACATGCGCATTAGATATGTAGATCGGCCATGCTTATGTATTATTCATATAATCATATTTTGTTAAAAGTATAATCTAAATGCACGACAGTGGCGACGAATTTGGGATTGTTATAAGTCCAGAAATGACGACGATTGGAAAAATTGATGTTTTTGATGAAACCCAAGAAAGCTGGGAGACGTATGTCGAACGAATACAACATTTTTTCGCTGCAAACGATGTCGACGACAATCATCAAGTGCCAACTCTGCTGAGTTTGATTGGAAGCAAAACGTATTCATTATTAAAGGTTTACTTTTGCCAGAAAAGCCTGCAGACGAGAACTTTGATGAAATAGTAAGTACATTACAGAAGCATTTAAATACTAAACCACTAGAAATAGCCGAACGGTTTCGTTTTTATAAGAGAAATCAGCAAGAAGGGGAGAGCATTTTAAATTATATAGCTGAGTTAAAGAAATTAACCGCACATTGCAATTTTGGAAGTAACTTGGAAGAAACCTTGCGCGACAGATTGGTGTGTGGATTAAGTAATCAGCAAATTCAGAAACGTCTCCTTGCAGAGTCAAAATTAAAATTCTCCAAAGCTGTTGACATAGCAGTTGCTATGGAAACAGCCACTCGAGATGCTACAGAGATCCACAGCAAGGGTAGAGAAGAAAAACCTCTTGGTCTTGACAAACTGACACTGAACAGACCCTCGAATAGATCAGATAGTGGCCCACCTTCCCCTGTAGTGTGTTATCGATGTGGAGCTAATAACCATGTTGCAACTGAGTGTATATTTAAGAAAGAAGTCTGTCACAAGTGTGGAAAGAGAGGTCATATTCAAAGAGCTTGCCGGGCACAACAAAGCCAGGCGCCCGGTAGACCTTCGCCCAGATCAAGATACCAGAAATCGACCAATGACATAGAGACCGAACCAGATGAGTATGGACACTTGTTGAATAATCTAGAAGTTCATAATGTAAACAAATCAAACAGTGATGTCATATGGGTTGACGTGAAAGTTGAAAATCAACCACTATCCATGGAACTAGACACAGGATCGGCCGTGTCCATTTTGCCATATGACATGTTCTTGGAAAGATTTCGCGACAAGAAGTTACAGAAAACAACCACTGTACTAAAGACCTATACTGGTGACCTGATCGTTCTAGTTGGTTGCCTTACCATGCAAGTTGAATACTTAGATCAATCATGTCTATTGCCATTCCATGTAGTCCAGACTAAGGGTCCAGTGTTAATTGGTCGAAATTGGCTTCACAAGCTTCGCCTCAACTGGAAAACCATTA